CTTACTGTTCTCAAAGGGCCAACTACCAAACCAATCACACGGTGAGGGAAGATCTTTCCTTCCTTACGAAGACGTGGTGCTAGGAGCTGTCGAAGAAGACCCGAGTACTTCAGTGCGTGCAATAGAAGTAAAAACAGGTGTGCCCAAAAGTACAGCCCACAGAATCTTGCAAAAACACGTGCTCCATCCATTCCACGTACAGCGTGTTCAAGCTCTTCTGCCCCGGGATTATGAGCCCCGAGTTGCTTTTTGTCGCACAATGCTAGAAAGACACAGGGAAGATCCACGGTTCTTTGAAAAAAAAATTATGGTCAGATGAGACCACATTTAAGAAAGATGGGTACATGAAGCTGCATAACTTGTGGCACGTAGCAAACCCACATTTGATGAGAGAAGATAAATCTCAATATCGCTTCAAGATAAACCATTGGACAGGAATTTTAAATGGTAAAATAATCGGTCCGTTTGAGTTCCCAGCGACTTTGACTGCTGAGGTTTATTTAGGTTTTTTGCAAAATCATTTAGAAAATTTATTGGAGGACGTGCCACTGAGTATTTACAGGGACATGTGGTTTCAGCATGATGGCTGCCCATCGCACTATGCACTCTCAGTGAGAGAGTATCTTGATCAAAACTTTCCAGGCAGATGGATAGGGCGGTCTGGTACAATCCCGTGGCCAGCCCGGTCACCAGATTTGAATCCGTTAGATTTTTTTTACTGGGGAACTGTAAAAGAAAAAGTGTATTTCAAGTCGATTCAAAATGTAGCTGAGCTACGGCAAAGACTATTGGAAGCAGCTGAGTTTATTAATAACCGTGGATTCGCTCGTTTAATAACCCGATCTTTTTTAAGAAGATGTCGAGCGTGTATTGCTGCTGAAGGAAAACAGTTTAAGCATTTGCTGTAAAGGTAAATCATCATCAGCAGCATTTTGACGCCCACTGTTGTGCAAACAGTTATCCTTAAGGGTCCTTGTGCGTTTTCATAATCGCTGTTTAATTAGGAAATTTTGAAAAATTTTCATCAGTTTTTTTTCAAATAAAAATTGTGCATAAGTTAACGAGTAATCTTCTAAGTGTTATACCATTTTGGAATCGTTACTAAATGCGCCAACTTTTAAGGTTACTTGCCAAACTCTCGTAGTACATTTTTTTCCAGTACAGCCAGTTAAAGTTGAGCAAAGTTTTACTTTGGAATACTTGGTTGGGAAATAAGTGGAAATTTTTCCTGAACGAGAAAAGTTGGCAGTAAGGTTGAGACACCAGTTTGAAGATGCATTATTCATCATTACATTGTAAAAATAAAATCCAAAAAAAGTTAATATTTGTAGTAACAGGAGTTGACAGACTGCCGTAGGGTGTGAAATTTCTATATTTTCTTCAAAGACCTATAATTTTCAAAACACATACATAAAATTTTTTTAAATATTTTGCTGATAGCTGTTATGACTGTGCCTATCACCCGGTTTCGGCTTGACGTCGTCTTCTGGGACACCCGGTATATACCTCTTGCTGAATCAGTCATTATTTGATTTTTATTATAAGAAATTTTGGAAAATAAAAATAGCAAAATACATATGTCAATGTGGTCTTAAATACCTGTAAGCTGTCAATAGTGTCAAACGAATAGCAACTTGGCAACGGCATAAAACAGAGGGCAATTTGGCGACGGTGTTGATTCCGCAAATGGTTCCAAAGTCGTTCGCGGTAAACGAAAATCTCGAACTAGAAAATAACTGGACATGCGCATTTGTGTAATTCTGGACGGTTCAGTTTTAGTTCCGAACTGGTTCATTTTTTGACCAGCGAACGTGTTATTTTATTAGGATAAACCTTGTCAAAAAATGTGTCAAAATGACGCCATCTTGAAATTTTCAACTACTAATTTTATGCTAAAATATGGTATTCATACCCATCCGAATCTCAGCTTGCTTACTTGACTCATTCAAAACATCAGCAGATAGAGAGGTCTTTTTGAAAAATACTGTATTTTTATGAACAATGGATCAATCAAGGCAGGTCCATTTTAAACTATATTAGCACTTTTTTTAGTCAGAGATTAAAGAAACATTAGTCAATTAGCTGCAAATACATAAATAAATACATAATACACAATACCACGGAGGCGTACATATATTTGAGTCACAAGTGGTAGGTACGTACGTTGGAAATAATACAAAATAAGTCAATCTTCATATTTTACCGTCCTTGAATAATAGATGATAATAATGAAAATCCTTGCTCTGCTGCATATTTTATCATGAATGTATCGCGATCGCAACACGTGTGACCTGTTTTCGGACACAATAAGGTAGCAAACAACAAATCCGCCGGTAATATCCATTTTTAGCGGATGATTTTACGCTTTCGATGAGGAGAAAAAGCATCGACGCGAAACAGATTTTTCTGATTGAAGGAAATCCAGAAGCTGGTTTTCCAATTTTACGGAAATATTACTCATAATACAATAGGGGTATCCAGATGTGGATGTTACAGGGGGAGAAAGTTGCATGTGATATTTACAGCAGTTATAGACATCACGAAAAATCATGTCACTTATTTCAGTTGGTCTGTCTGTCTGTCCGCTAACCTTATAACCGCCTATAACTTGAGAACTGCCGCCCAGATTTCGATGAAATTCTTACACAATTTTCCTACTATGTCAAGAACGCAAAGGCTTTGCACTTTTTGAAGATCGATCCAGTGGCAGCCGAGAAAAGGAACATTATCTCAATTTTTTAAATCAAAGATTTCTCCATACATTAGCCCTCTTAAAGCTTGAAAAAAAACATTCTTAGCTGACAGACCGCGTTCCTACCAGCCACGGCTGCTGGTCCCTAAGACCTCGGTGAGTGTTTCTGGTATGATATTACACGTATTTTTGCTGCGCCACTGATAACGGCGTTGTGTGGGAAGTGTAGAGTCAATACTTGACGCAATTTTTCCTCGAAATTTTGACAATGATAGAAGACGAAAAATCGAGATGAATATCCCTATAACATACATACAGAGATAGTTTTTTTGTGTATTATCTAAAAAAGCTGAGCACAACAATTCCAGCCAATAACGCTCCTTACTTGGAAAATATTTGTATCACTACAGGGTGATAATAAATTACGTGGTGACCCAAACATACATTTTTCAAATGGTAAGAAATATATTAATATATATATATATATATATATATATATATATATATATATATAACTTGAGACGTGTTCATTGTCGTCTAGACCAGTTAGGTGTATCAACAAAAAGACAGATGTTAAACAACTGTCATTTACTCATATTTGCTAAACTGCGAAAAATTTTAGAACTTACATATCTCCCCAAATTTCGACTTTTCACAACCATAAATATAATCTGTGTTTTGGCCGATTCCACCAACAAATTTCATTCCACTCAAAATCTAATAATTCTCTTCTCACGATTTATTAATAATTGTTAATTTAAAATTCCCATTAATTAATATATAGTTTATTCAACTGCCTCTGGTCGGTTTAACAATTTCTTACATAACATTCTGAAAATCACATCATCTGAAGTGATTTGGCAACGTTTTGGCACACGCCCACAATTCGTTCCATCTGTCAACACAGACATTGACAACCTTCGGCCTTCTGTCAAAGGTTCATCTCACTCATTATTCCATGACCACCATTATGTGCAATCATCAAGTGGCTTCACGACGTAATGCTCTAATGTTTTTTTTAAATAATTTTTAATCTGTTTTTAACTTGTCTTGTCATATTTTATATAATTTTGACCATTGTACCATGTATCCAGCTCTCACCATGTTACTGGACGTTTCCCTCATCCTATACGTAAACAACAATTAGCAACATCTTCACATACTACTGTAAGTTGAGTCAATTTAAATTCATTTTACACTTTTGTTGCTACTGTCATCATTGTAATTGCAGATCGTGATGATGATGGCAAAGTCCATTGAAAGCTAGAGAGAATTAAAAAAAGTATAAAGAGTCCTCTTTGCTTAAATTTGGTCGAAGTACCCAACAAAAGACGGAAGCTTTAATTTTTCACCTATAAGTATATATATAATATAATATATATATATATATATATATATATATATAGGTGGTCTAGCTGTTATAGTCGCAGAGATGCGAGTTGACAAAGCTGTATTTTTTTTGATAGGTTGTTCAATATCTCAACAATTAAGACATAAAGCCGTATAGAATGTTACATCAAATTACTTCTTTTGAAAGAGCCTTTTTGAATCTGAGACAAAACGTAGGCTTTTCCATTATAAAATGTATGTTTGGGTAACCATGTAGTTATGTAGAAATCAATATATTTTCTAAATAAGGAGCATACTGTTGGCTACAATTCTTGTGAATAACTCTTACTTTCTATGCCAAAACCAGCCAAAGAGTATTGTAATCGCGAAACGCTTCGAAATTGAGATATTATGCTTTTTGGATGTTATATGACATCAACTTGGAAAGTACCGGTCGGATTTTGATGAAATTTCCACACAAGGTTACTACTATGCCAAGGATGAAAAGCTTCCTTTTCTTGAAAACCGACCTGGTGGTGGAGGAGCTAGGGGCAAGTACACGAAAAAATTAAAATCACTTAAAAAGAACTATGCTATATCTGTTTTATACAGTTTTGTATGCACAGGTCGAAGATTCACCGTACTAAGTGAACCTACCTAATAACGATCCGATTTCGCCTTTTGAAACGATTTTACTCATCCCTTTTCTTTGAAACCTCCAACGAAGGAAGTATAGAATCAATCTTATTGACACCAGTTTTTCAGATTCAATGCGCAATAAAGGAGTTATCTACCGAGCCCACACTAAAAACTCACCCTGTATACGATCATTGACCATGTTCCTCAGAACTTAATTTTGAAACTTCCAAACGAACAATATATATATATATATATATTATAGTGACGAATCATGACTGTGTTTTGATAGAAAATGAATGTATTTAATTTATAACGCAGCAACTGACAATATACAGCCTTGGCCAAAAGTATTGAGCACGCTCGATATCTTTAAATTCTAGGGGACCATTAAGTTGGGAGAAATTCACACAATTTTTTCTAGCTTTATATGGCTTAGTATTGAAAGAAAATCAATATTTTGTGGTACCACCCTTCGCCTTAATCACGGCAGAAATTCTTTTAGGTAAAGATCGTACAAGTTTATTACATTCTTCGTAAGTTAAAGCGTTCCATTCCTCACGTAGACGGCGCTTCAGGTCTTCTTTATTCTTGAATGTATGACGCCTGATCTTGCGCTTCAATAAGCCCCACAAATGTTCAATCGGGTTCAAGTCTGGTGACTGGGCTGGCCAATCCAGAAGCTCGATGCAGTTTTCTCTGAACCAAGCCATTGTCCGTGCAGCTTTATGGCAAGGCGCATTGTCCTGCTGAAATTTGACGCCATTCATGTTGGTATCGCCATAAAGTGCAGTAAACGACGGCAAAAGAGCATTTTCGAGTACGTTTATGTACTTTGTGGCATCCATGCGACCCTCACACACGAACATTTCTCCCACTCCTGAAGCACTCATGCAGCCCCAGACCATTACGCTACCGCCACCATGTTTCAAAGTAGGCACCACACACTCCTGATTGAATTCTTCTCCTACTCGAAGACGAACAAATGTCACACCAGGTGTACCAAAAATCTGAAAAATGAAGAAATGTCATTAAGTAGTTGCTTAGTTGAATATTTTCTTCTTGTCATTTTGTTTCAAAAATTATTGTTACACCTCGTTACTGCATCAAATTAACCAACGTACCTCAAAGTTTGATTCGTCTGACCATACAATATTTGACCAATCCTCTTCAGTGAAGCTTTTGTATTTTAAAGCCCATTTATATCGAGCCTTTTTGTTTTTGTCTGAGAGCCATGGCTGCTTTCTAGCTTTGCGGCCATTTAGACCAACTTCTTGAAGCCTTCGGCGAACAGTTCGAGTAGAAATCGGTCTATTAATTTGCTCTGATAGTTCGGCAGCGAGGACCAAAGAAGTTTTTTTCCGATTTTTCAAAGATTCTCTCGTCAATATTCGGTCTTCGCGATCTGTAGTGATCCGTTTGCGGCCAGATCTAGGCCTATCTTTATGTGAACTGGTCTGAGAGAATCGCTGGATAGTGTATTGTACACATCGACGCGAGCACTTCACTGTTTTTGCAATGTCTACTTGGGACTTCCCTTGTTCATGGAGAACCTGTATTTTCGCACGTTTTTCAATGCTCAGTTCATTCGTTTTTGCCATATTACAAGAGTTGAACTCAGATTCTCGAAATAAAATCATCAATATTGCACTAAATCACTTGACTGTTCACAATGAGCGATAGCATCAAACTGATGAACACGCACTAAAAAGGTAAAACTGACTAGTCTCCAAAAAACTACGTGTTTTAACGAAAGTAAGGAGATAAGAAATTATTTACAAACCGGTTTTGATACCTACAAATATTTGTATAACCATTAGTTTTTCTTTTCGTCTATCATTATAGCGTACGTGAAATATTTTCGGGGTGCTCAATACTTCTGGCCAAGGCAGTATCTCCTGGTAATGTACCATATTCTAACTAACCACTCGCAACACACACCCGGCAAGCCAGATTAATCACAAATGCCGCATGAACATTACTGTAACTTATAGGATCGTATAATAATTTTCGTTAGATAAATCGTTTATAAAATGGACGCTTGCTGTTTCACCGAGCATCAAATAGAGCTGTCAAATGTTGGTTGAGCTCATTAAAGTATGTGTTTAGTGGTGTGCTTTATTGCGGAATTCAGAGAAGTGATATCTAGCTTAACTGAAAAGTTAGCGTTTTTTAGGTTTCACGTTATATGTAATGACCGTCGGTTTGTGTATATGATTATCTGTAATCCCGTATTTTTTTGCCGTTATTGTATGCGCACTCATTATCCTCCTTAGGCTGATTGTGATAAAACTTTACGCAGAAATATTTACCGAAAATAAACCAAAAATCGATGACCCTTATTTTCTACAAGTCAAGAAATATTGATGAGAATTATCCTTTGGAAAAGTCTGTACCTCATGCGATATTTGAAATCAATAAAGCCGGATTGTTTTATGGCATTGTAATTTACTAAACATTTAATTAAGCAATTGAATTCCAAAATGAATGAAATATCCTTAAATCTATCTTTAATACGTGGAAAATCTTTTCCTAGTGGTGGAGCATATTTAATTTTTGTATGGAACATAATTCTAAATTCTAGCGTCGCCTTTGATACCCCACGCAACGGGCGAGGTAGGCATTATTCTAAGAAATAATAATTTTCGAAATACGGGTGTCCGCAAAGTTGGGGTTTTCCTTTTCAGAAACAACTACCCTTGAAATAACAAAGGTAATGTGTAGTGAAACGAGGGCGACCAAGTAAAAAAAACAAAGGGAAAAGTACTCACTCTCCAGTTGACGAGAAGGGCTAAAGTTTGGCAAACGGATCTGCAACATCGGGGTATCGGTGAGGGGAAAGCAAAACATTCATAAAATGCCAGCGGCGTGCGGTATCTTATAAAAGTTTGGGATTATTTCATAATTGGTTTAAATTTAGTAAACTATACGTTTATGTTTCACTTTAAATTTGGGAAGTATCTCAATAAGACCACAATGATATGGAGCATTGTCCATAATAATAAATAAAGTCTCGGGTAAACTCAAAAATAGCTCTCTACAGTCTACACCATGTAAAAAAACACTTGAGTCTGTTTCTACACTTCAACAAACGGAAAAATGTCTACTCACTTCCCTAAATTGCCACAATTCAAAAAATCATAACTGCGCGATTTAAAACCTAATTTGAAAATCAAGCTAGCGTTTTTGTCAAAGCCGTAAATAAAATATATTTTTCAAATACAAATAGATACTTAACGTGGTTTTTTACCTTGAGAATATATATATATATATATATATATATACAGGGTGACTTTGAAGTTGAGTCATTAATTTTCAGATAATGATTGTAGAAGGAAGATAAATCAAAATATGTGTGTAAAAATAAAAAAAAAAATTAATAAAAAAATTTTACCTTGTTTTATAAAGTATCCTCCCGACAAGTATTTCAGTGCGGACCTGTATTTGATCGTGAGGTCTTGGAGCACCGGCATGCCGTCCCCTGTGAGGTCTTAAGTCACCTGATTCACGAACCCGTTGTACTACATTAACAAAGGCACAAGGGGTTGGTTGCACTCGATTGGGAAACCGATCCGCATAAACATGTGACATTTTTTATTTCGTTTGAGCCACGCAACAGACACCACTATTCACTCACGCGTTACCGACTGACACTGACTAAAGGGCTATAACTTTGTTACTTTAATTTTACCAGAAAAATGTTGTAGGAAAAAACATTTCTTTTGATCAGATCTACTCACTGTTAAAATAAATGACTCAACTTCTAAGTCACCCTGTATATTATACATCCGTGATCTTATAATATGCTCATTTACTTTAAAAAGTGCCACAAGCCGAAACATGACCAGAATTAATTTTTATTTTATAATCCGCATCTTTCTGGATTCCTATTGTTGCAATTTTGGAATGTTGATGTGGATATTTCTAGAGCATCGGTGTCGCTTAAATAGATCAAAGAACTTTAAACATATTTCATATCCGTTTAACTTATAACCTCTGTAATAAATAATACTTACATTATACAGCATGTCAAAATTACATTTCACCTATTGAATTAGCATTGGTGTTCGTCAACTTCATCATTATCATCATCGTCACTGTCGTCATCAGTTTCGCTGTCGTCATCTTGCCCTATAGTTATTATAACTGGTTCCATTTCCTCCATAAATTGATCATTTTCCCAAAATTTATCTTCAATGTCCCTAACATGTTGACATAATTTCTGCCAATCATTAATGGATATTAAGGACATCGCTTACTGAGTAACTTCTTTCAGTACTTTTAAACTGAAGTTTCCAGTGGTATTGCGGCTTCTTATATGAAATTTAAGCTTTGCCCAAGCTAATTCTATTGGGTTTAGCTCGCATAAATAAGGAGGTGTTCTTAGAGGAGTATGTCCATGTGATCTTATGATCCGATCAACTACATAATTTGTTTGGTTGTCAGGGGGCTTATGAAGTAAGACCAGATCGAACAAGTCAAATTTTCTGGCAGTTGCCTCATGATTTATGCCTATAAAATATTTTATTGTATAGTTTGATATGTACATGCATGTTTTGAGTCATAAGAACCTTTCTTTGTCAACCAGGCCATTATATCTTTTTTCGAAGATGATTTTGTCGAGGTTTTATCTTCCTGTACGGAATGATATGGAGCATTGTCAAATACTATTACCGAATTGGCAGGTATATTCGGGAGGACTTTTTCGGTAAGCCAGCGTGTGAAATTTTCCCGATTCATCTGACCGTGGTAATCGCCTGCAGCTAATCCCGTCTTAAATATCAAACAGGCATTGTCAACAAATCCATTTTCTGAACCTGCATGCACTATAATGAGTCGACCTAAAACATACAAGACGATTATATAATATGTTACAAATCAGAGTTAAATTTAACATATATATATAGCATTTTTGCTTACCTGTAGAACCTATACTACTTATTACACCCGAAACAGTTTCGCTCTGCCAGCATCTTTTGAAAGTCAAGTCATTGTCCACCAGTGGCGGCTCGTGAGGTAGTGCCACGGTGCCATGGCACTACCTTGTCTTCTTCAAAAAGAATATTTTTTTCAATCTTCAATGTTTTACTTTATTTTTTGCTTTTTCATTTTTTTTTTTGGTATAAATTATATGAAGTGACAACACTGACAACGTGACAACACCGCAAGCACCCGAACCACGCGACGAGATATAAAGCATGCCTTGACCTTGACGTCATCAACTTGTGCCAATGTCGGGCCGGCCCAAATAAAAAGAGAGAAATTTTACCAGCATCGCATACGAGCGACAGAGATAACGCTACAATACACATTTTTATATGAGGTGAATAGCGAAAGACAAGTATAATTTGTGCCAGGCACATCATCAGTCGTAATTCGTTATCAAATGATATCGGCGGTGTTTTTGTTCGGTCGGTCGTTTCGTTATGATTACGTCTAGTGCTGATTTCGGTCTTTTTTTACCTGAAAAGTGAGAAATAACGTTTTTGTTTTAGTACGTCTAGTGTTAATGAACTGCTCTGTTTTGTGATCATATTTTTTACTGTTTTATTAAAACTAGTGAAAATGAATAAAATCGGGATATTAAAAAACTCATTTAGTGGTTTTTCGCTGGATCAAAAACTGCAAATTAAAGAATTAGGACGGCCAATACCCGATTTAAAAATTGAGAAACAAAGTGGTAGCGGACAAAAATCGCGCTGTCGCAAATTTAATAAAAATGTGTACGATAAAAACAGCTGGATATGTGGTTGTGAAGAAACGAATAAACTATTTTGTTTTGTATGTGTTCTATTTGGAGGTGACGAGACTTGGTCAAAAAAAGGTACAGATGATCTTATACATATATGGGATAAAATGAAGACCCACGAAAAATCTAAAGTCCATATGAATAATGTTTTTAGCTTTTCTATTCTTGGTAAATTAAATATAAGGACTCAACTCAATTCGGCTTATCGCAATGATCTAATTAAACATAATAATCAAGTGGATAAGAATCGATATGTATTGAATAAAATTATTAATTGTATAAGGTTTTGTGGAGCATTTGAGTTAGCCTTAAGGGGTCACGATGAAAAGGAAAATTCGGAAAACAGAGGCATATTTAAGGAGCTGGTGAATTTTAGCGCCGAATTAGACAACGAATTGAAAGTCCATATTCAAA